ACAACTGGTTCGACCTCAGAATGTTCTCTCATAACGAGTCTTAAGAACCAATTGCTGTTGATGGTGGCAATGTCTGAAATGTTTGGTATTTTCTTGACATGTTTTCGTGTTTCAATATCTATGTATTTCGAAGTACAGTTGAGTCGTCTTGTATCGAGTCTTTACGTTTATAGTGATTGCTTTTCACGAATGACTTTAGTTTCGTGGATAGTTATTGTTGATGGGCTTGAGGTCTGTTTATAAATTTCGAGGATGAAATTTTTTTAAGTAGGGAAGATTGTACCGTTCTGTTCTTAATGGAGGAGAAACGAAGTCACGAAAAAGGATTGGAAGGGTCGAGCCAAATGAATGGAAGGGGGAGAAGAAACGAGAAGATTGTAAAACTGCAGAAGAGGAATTGTGTCGTGAAATCGAACTAGGAAGGGCGAGGAAATGAATCGATCATAGTGGGAGAAGAAGTGAGTGAATGACAGGAAGTCGGAGAGGCAAATTCGCCTATAAAGTCACAGACCGACTTACTTGGAGTGAGAAATGGGGTAGAAGCAGCGTATTTGTCGTGCGCGAGGAGAGGAAGAAGGTGTGGCTTATTTATCGAGCTTCGCGGAGAAGAATCGAGCTGAGTTGAGGAGGAATCTTCATTCATGAAGAAGAATAGGAAGGCGATCGTGTGCGGGAGGTGTTTGAATAGGAGAAGGGAAGATTAATGCGGGTGCTAGGTCGAGCCTTCTGCGTAGGAAGAAGATCGTCGCATATAGAGGAGGTGCGGGTTTGTGGGAGGGATTAAGACGAGAGCTCTGAGAGGTTGAATCGAGCTGATTGCAGGAAGAGGGAAGGATTCAACTCGCTGCCCTATGTTGAAGGAGTCGCGTGTTGCCCTCACGTGGGATAGGATTGATCGAGATAAGGCTTTTAGTAAAACATAATAATAATAATAATAACAACAATAATATATATATATATATATATAATAACTTTATAATATATATATATATATATATATAAAGTAATAAAATTTAAGTTTGATTACACTTATGTAATGTAAAGTTAAGAGTTTATTAAAATAATAAATTAATTAGACTTTATATGTTGTTGGGCTTCCAAATATAAAGGAGACAATGTCAAAACAAATCAAATAAGAAATTAATCTACAATATAAGTGAGTACTTGTACTTTTATACTATAGCAATAATTTATTTTTGCTTAAATATGTTTGCAGTTGATGATATTTGCTGATGTTTTATTCTGATTGTTATTCTTTTTTTATTGTCTTATGGTTGTGAATATTGTAGTTATTTACTCATGGATTTTAGTGTATGTTTTATATAGTATGATTGATACGATGAATACATATGTTATGTTGAATGTTTGTATGTGCATGATTGACTATGATGGAACACCCCTTGATGGTACTAGTGGGGGAATGCTAGTGTACCCGTGCACGGAAATGAAAAATAGATATTGATATCATTGTGTTTTAATTGACATAATTTTTATGCAGTGTCATTTGTGACTGTTGTATAAATATGAGAATGATATTGAGTCCTTTAAATAACATGTCAAATATTTGTATTGATTTATACAGAAGCTTAACTGATATACATATTGTTCTTTCTTTTCCTTGTCTTGCCGCATTTTATAAGTATGAATATCTACTGGATCGTTTAGCTCACAATTGTTTTAACTAATTCTTTAGATTCAATTGAATTATTAAAAGATGACCGATATACGAGAAAACTTTTCTAGAAGATGCAAACAACCATCAATGAGGTAAATTTTAATTGTACCGTTTTAATTTAATTTGCAGTGGTTCTTTCATCTGTTAAATTGAATGTTAATATATAAAATTTATTTCAAACCGTTCGACCGTCCGTTCCCGTCTTGGTTGTGAAACTCAAGGGAGAAGGTTTGGTGGACAAATTCTATAAAGGAGCCTGCTTGGTGAATAGTTTGCATTCTTATGCTAGTTTGATGAGTAGATGTACTATACGTTTTTTATTTTCTTTCCTTTTGTTGATGTAAATTGTTTTTACCACACCTCCATTGTGATTTTACAATAATTCTTCCATTTTAGTTTATAAAAAAAACAAAGAAAATCCTATTCCATCCACGTTAAAATTCGACCAGAAAAACTATGCTACTGGACCTTATTTTGTCATTTTGGACATTTAGAGCCTTCAACCTCTTAAAAAACTCTCATAAATTTAAAAAATACTGTAAATACATCCCTGTATTAAATACTACAGTTTCAACCCTTAATTCTTTTATTTGGTCTATCCAGTAAACCTATAGTTTTCTGCCAGGCTAGGTTTCCACCCTACGAAGTGGGTTTCGACCAGGCAAGGGTTTCCACCTTACATAATTAATTCCCATCCCCTTTTCACCATCAGAAGCTATTTAGAAAATAATAAAAAATTTCAGATAACATCTATTAAAGTTTGTAACATATTTAACTAATTATTCACCAATCTCTTTTGAAAATTTCTAGAGAATAAATCCAAATTCCTAAATCAGTCCAATTTAGTTCATCCTGACCTAGTTTTGGAAATGCATCCAATTCATCTGCTAAATCCAGTTGAATTGGCTCCACCAACTAGATAAATATCCTAGGGACTTTTCTATACCATTTTCAAGAGTTCTTACATTGAAATCTAAGCTCACTTTAATTTAGTGAGTAGATGCACTCTATCTCTTTGATTTTCACTTGATCATAGTTATAGGGCCTTGATTTACCCCTAATTTTCTAGTTTGTGCTTTAGTTATTGGCCCATTTTCTTTGCATTGGTACCTATACATCATGTGCCACATCAGATGCTTTGTAGCTTGATTGTCGGACTTAGATTGCATCGCTCAATTCTAAGAGAACTCATGATTGATGACATGATGATATTGTTATTGTTGTTCATGGAGAAAGAAATAGTGGCTATGTTCATCTAAATAAATAAATAAGAAAAAAAAATGAGGCAATGCAGTGATGGCTGTTATAGCAATGAGAGCATTTTGTGGCATTACATCATTGAAGGATGCATTTACAACCAAATGAATGAAATAAAGATAATGCAACAATGATGGTCGCAAGATTGTGGTAATGTAGTGATGAAGGATGTAATAATAGAAAATAAGGAAGAAAATAAGTCTGGTACCATCGTCAGAATTATAAAGAATATGTTGTATTTCATTTCAATATTTCTGTGAAATTTTTGTAAACTTAGGAGAGCTTCCAATAAGAGAGAAAAAAAAAAGTGGAATAATAATTATAGTTGTCCCTTGATTCATGAGGAGATAGTAGGAATCCCATAGATCAAAGATGTGATAATTGACGATAAAGTAAATAGGGCATAAGTCTTGGTGAATACGGATGTAATTGGCAAAAGTTGTGTAGACTTTTCATAGTTTCTAATGTAGATCTAATATGTGATGTGGAAAATCATGCAACAAGCACACAAAACTTACATGAAACAAACTATGCCAAAATAACTCTTGAATATCTTTGATGTAAACTATAGAATGGTAGAAATAAATTCAAATTAAAATTCTATGGCCTTCTACTAAGTATTAATAAATAGCATTAAATATTACGAAAGTCAGACACATGTTTGACATTTCATTTAAGTGATAGAAATTTAGATTGCAGTTAATCTTGATTAAATTCAATCTAACTTTGAACTGATAACAAGATAATGTAGAAGAAAGAATAAAGGAAGAAAAGAATGACGGGAACTAAATCATGAGAAATGAAATGAATATGGAATCTCATCATGTCTCTCACTTGACTAAGAAATTGAATGTGGGAAGAAGGATTTGTATTTCCAAATAAAAATATTATTCGGTGGCCATTGAATTTCTAACATGCCTTAGGCATCTTTTTATAAGCATTAAATCAACTAAAAAACAACTTCCATCAATTTGAACCATGTGCAGATTCTAATCGCGCCTCATAAAAGATTGCTAATATCAGCTTCATTGCCTTATGCTTTAGTAACAAATGGACTCAAAGAGAGTTATAGTTCCATTAACCAAGGAAGGCTACCACAACAAATATTTGATGATCATTGTAGTCCTGATAAGCTAGATCAAGGAGCCATCGATCTACAAAGAGTTGCTGATTTGATTCAGAAAACAGTCAAGGAGGGCTATTTTTCAGTTGCTTCTGCAAAGACTACGGCGGCAATAATGGAGTAAATTTTGCAGAGGAGTTGGGGAAGGAGAAATACTCTCTTGAGAACGAACTACAGTCGAAGCACCACTCGGCCCTTGAAGAAAATCACTACTTTTGGACGGGCTATAACTCGAGCCCCACTAGCCTTTGGATACATCCCTAGAATGGAGAAACTGGGATGTCAACGACTTTCTTGAATAGAAACACCACCAACCTAAACACACGAATCAAATATATAAGCCCTAGATAATTAGGATGGGGCCCACCATGGAAAAGAGGCTCCAAATCCATGTAAGGAAGGTCGTGTTTCTGTAGCGAAATCATGGCACTGTAGCAAAACTGCTGAAAGGGCTCCCGAGTATCTCTCGTGTCACATAGAGTACTGTATTAATATACATGATTTACTTTTGTAAGCATATTAGGAATAAATTCAGCATGCCCTCTTTGCAGGGAAAATTTCAATAATTACGCACATTTGGCTGTAATGCAATTTTCCGATAAAATGTCACTGTATCATTAGAAGCAACCAGTCAAAAAATAATTGCTTCATTTCTAAGAGATCTATGGTAGAAGAGGTGGACCATGATTAGAAGTTATATTCTCAGGTGTGAACTGTAGGCAAATGGTAAGAAGTTTGAAGCATGCACCTATAATGATCACACAACACACCTTAAATGTATTAGTTCTCACTGAACCTGGGTTTTTATATTCTTTGCTTTATTAGCATGCCAAACTGGAATATACTTCTTGAAACATATTTATTTGGGGTTTTTTTCTGCCAATATATGTCAATATATGTGCTTTAAACGGTTTTTTTTTTTTTTTAATTTTTGTTTTGTGGCAGCGGACAAGAAGCTGGACCAATATCATGCGAAGTGCCTGCCATTCTTGAAGGCAATGTCAAGACAAGATGTCCCTTTGATGGAGAAAGGAACAAGGCTCCACATTCTGCAAAAGGAAAGGAGATCAATCTTGTATGCTTAAATTGGTCTGATTCTCATCTATTAAAGGAGGTAAGACAAAGCTATCAATATTTTTAGCATGTATATATGTTGGATTGTTGGGACACTAGCATCCTTGTTATTCTATTCTTTTACTCGGTATTTCAATATTGTACTTTCAGGAAAAACATGAAATATTTATGGTTTTGTTTTTGTTTTGACTTTGGTTTTTTATCAAATGTTTTGTGCTATGGGAGAACCAGGTACAGCTGCCATCATTCCATGATCCTTATGCCGAGTTGCCATAAGGATCCATAAGGTCTGTATCACTTGAGCTTGAGTTTTCATATGATTTTGAGAAAATTTAAATTTTCAAAAATGCTAATATTGGCAGATAATTGTTTTATCTAAAAAATATTAAAAAGAATGCAATTACAACGAAATAATTTTGAAAGACTGAAATTGAAAGACTGGATTTGAACCTTTTTTAAAAAAGTCTTACCAACTTTTCTTCTTTTTTCATTTTTTTTCTCATTTGGTGGAATAAATGGGATAGGTTAGTGGTTCTATGGTTTGTTGTAACTAGCTTGGATTGGAAAATAGGTAAAAAATGATGCAAAGGTAGGCCAAAATTTTCATTGATTGTAAATGTTCCTTATGTTTTAAAGGCGTTGATATATTCTGGATTTCAATGATGAATATATGTGTCTCTAAGCTTTTGCAGATGATATGCAATGCTTAATGTGGCTGAATGATACACAAGGTTCATGATATGCTTTTAGGAAGTTTCCAATTCATCTTAATGTGGCTGAATGATACACACGGTTCACGATATGCTTTTAGGAAGTCTCCAATTCATCTTAAGTCTCCCAGTTTCCCAACAACTTTAAAATATCCCTAGCATCTTAGGGAAGTGGGGCGGTCATTCGTGAAGTTGTGATATGTAATTGTTTCTGCTAAAATGACTTTTGAAGAGGAATCAATCTATGAATTCTCCATAAACCCCCCTCAAGGTTTGGTTGGTCAAGCAAATGAGAGTTGTAAGGGATTTATTTGAATGCCTTGCTTATAGTTAGAGTTTTTATCAATTTCTTACATTTTACTATTTAAATTCTGTTTGTTTTTTGAGTATGCTACTAGTTCTAATGGGCTGTTGCCAGATTCTCAGAGTTTTTTGCCTCTTTAATTAGTATTTAATTTTTTAATTATTTCCTTATAAGTTGAATTTATTTATATTATTACTTTTTTTTTATTTTGAAAACGTGGACCAATTACGGTTACTGCAAGTTAAAAAATGGTCAATGAAATTTATTTCAATTTTCACCCAACCTTCTCTATTGTTCTTCTCCCTTTTTCTTCTTCCTCACTCTATGTTGCTCCAGCACCTGCTGCTGCAGGACTATTAGCCTTTAGCCTCCAACTTACTATCCTCTTGCAACTAAAACCTTTATCTTCTTGAAGCAATAAGTGCTATAGTGTCTTGTCCATTTTTTAAATTGTGCAAAATATAGAAATCAAGAAATGGTTTGAAGTAATATCAAATACATCAAGCAGTGAGCAAAAAACGAAGAGGAAGTCTTGTGAAGGTTACCATCAAAACCCTAGCTTCACATTGGTGATGCTATTTTAAATTTACTTATGTATCAAGTATTTGATTCCTATAATTTTATTTTGCTTACCTTTTTTGGTGAAACTCTTGCATTGTTCCCTTTTTTTGAAGCCTATGATATCCAAAGGTGTAGTGGGATTTATTCCTTGGATGGTTAGGGTGAGATGCGTAAATCTTTTAATTTTTGTTATTGATAAGAGTGACAAACCCTTCCGCACTGCAATGCTTAGAAACACCCTCCAGAACACTTTGCTTGAAGGTTTTGGGAACTAATTCTTTTCAAGGAGGTTCTAAACCATGAATTGGTAAATATTGAGAAAGGTTGTTATTGGTATTTTATTGTGACCTTAGCATTTAATCTTTTATCTAGCTATAATTGATTAGAGCTTATAAATATAGTCTTAAATTTCATGTCATATCAAATAAAAACTTTTGAAGGACTGTATCTATCTTATGCTAAATTTCTAATTTCGTTTGAATTTCAATGTTTCATTTGCCAACATTTAAGTTCGTCTCAAACCTTCAGATTGTGTGGTGCATGCATGATGTTTTTGCTTGTCGAATTTCATTCATTTACTTATGTGCTGGATTTTCACTTCACGATTATCAGTATTGTCAATATAATCACTGATTCCTTATCTTTGAGACATTTCCACTTGCAAGCTAACCTCTTGATCTTTCTTGATAAACTTTATTGGCTATGATTCTAGGCTTTTGTGGTGAATGTTTTAATCCCTCAATCCTATTTGAAAGCTAGAGAGATATTGACATCTGCTTTTCTCCATGAGTTTTGTTTCTTGTACTTCATAGATAATAGACCTTGAGCGCTCAATATTGTCTTATTGCTTTTAAATTTCTGTTTTGTTTTAAAAATTAACTATACTTCTAAGGTGAGGCTTATTCTATGCAACTAATTGCTTTTAGATCTTAAAGACGTGAAAAATTAATGTAGATTGCTCTCAAGGACATCATACAAGAACTTTATTGCTTCAAATAGGAAAAACATTATTTAGGCAAGAAGGATATTCCTTTGTATCCCTTTATTTTTTTATGAACAGTATTCTCTTTGCCACTCTCATAATATCATTCCTTTTATGTATATGACAATTTCTTCATGTTTGGGGTGCTAAAAAATGTTTCGACTCCCAGGCAAGCAGAATATCCAAAGGAAAAGTCACCAGTCCAGTAGGAATAAAATTGCAAATATAGACCCGGGCAATTGGGTAATATTATATTTTATATTTAATATTTTATGAGTTACATTCTTGCTAACATTCTTTAGTCTTTTTTACTGATGCTATTTTTTGTTCATTATGAAAATTAAAGTTTCAGCAATTTGCCCAATTCTTCTCCCACCTATGCTGGTCATGCTATGATGATACACTGTTTTGTAGTTAACAAAGAAACTAACAGAAAATCAGCAATTATGAGTATCTTGATAGTTATAACATATTGAACTTAATGTTACTCTCTAATTCTATTGAATTGTGGCAGAATTTAATTTTCTTTTTTTGAATTATAGCATATGCTTAATACGTAGAGGTAATTAGATGAAAGAAGTAATAAAGAACAACTAATTCTTATATCTATATTACTTATTACAAAAAATGGTTAGAGTTTACAAAAGCTTTGAGATTTTTTAATAGTTGATGCATTTTGCAATGAATATAAAGTTCTAATTAATCCAGCCATCCAAATAATGGCTTTAAGATTCATGCTTTTACAATCTTTGTAAAATGAGGTTGGATGAAATGGTTTTTACTTCCGGATCTTGGAAATCAGATCGCTTCAAAATGTAAAAACCCTACAGTCAAATCCATTAACTGAAGCAACAAGCTTGAAGTATCAACCAAAATCTGATGCTTTTTATCATTTCACATTCAATACCAATGTTGTAGCCATCCTATGGCCTTATTTCAATCTTCAACAAAGTGGATATTAAAGTCTAAAGTCTCCAATAATTCCTAAGGGCAATTTTATCCAACACAAATCTATGCAATAAGGTGTCTTAAATTATAACTCTTTGATCATACAGAGACCAAAATACCTTATAAGTAGGGCTTTTCTATCCAAGATGGATCTCTTGTAGGTTACATCCAGGCAAAATTTTTGGAAGACATTGGTTGCGACATCAGCATATATTAACTTTAAGCTGAGATCAATGATTTTGATCCTTTTGAAGGGAATATCCTAGCGCTTTCCATTGGTTTTTGGAATGAAAGGGATGTTCATGGCCTGTATGGAAAGCGGAGTGACCTTGAAACTAAGCATGCATATGTTTTATTCATGAAGGTGCAAACTTTTCTTTGGTTGTTTTGAGATTTATGTTGTTGACGATGATTATGATCGTGATGCTCTCTTAATCTTGATGTCATGCTCTTATTCAAACTTTTCTGCTCTATCACCGGCGTGCCTTTGTCATCATCGCCCTAAGCCCCAAAACAAAACTGACCTATTTGCGACCTTGCTTGATGGTTTCATATATAACAAAAGACTATATATGAGCACTTATGTGTCAGACATAAGTACCGAAAACTAAACCAAGAAGTAAGAAAAAAAAATAATAATGGGGATGAGAGAGAGGAGGAACTGATTCACCCAAAAGATCGAAAAGGCGAAAGGTGAATCAGCCCTAAAAAACTTATGACGAAAAGACCTGAAAATGAGGGCCCAAGATTCTTGAATCAATCCAAGAAGGATATCATTTTCTCAAATTTCATAAGTGGATCAACCCAAGAAGGGTATCCCTTCCAATTCTTATTTCGAACAGGTCGAAAACGGGCCCGAATTAATGTGACAATTGTATACACGGCCCCACCATCACTTATATACTCACACACCCAAGCCTGAGCTCAAATGTGACATTTATGTTATCCAAACCTTAATGTGAAGCTTCCAAAAAGAATCTTTTTCATGAATGACAATTTTATGAGCTTTCGAATCCTTCATGAATTCAATTTATATCAGCTTTATGCTTCTTCGAAAATGAAGTTTTAAGAGCCCTTTTTATTTCACAAATCGAACAAAGGAAAGTAATTTAGGGACGACAACTTCTAAATTTCCAAAATCATGCCAATATTAAAACCATTCAATTTCATTCTTAATCAAAAGCTTCTCATGTTAAATAAATCATGAAATCATCCATATAACTGTTTACAGCCGGGGACAACAGAGAACAACCAAACAAGACGAAAGAAAAACCAACTGGGATGCTCATGGGAAGGGGAGCAAACCAAAGCCACCAAACCAGCCTCACAACAAAGGGGAAAGCAGGAAACAACCAAATAGGACAAAAGAAAACCAGCTGAGATGCTCACGGGTAACGACAGCAGCCCTCACAACCAACCAACAGAATAAGTCCACAGATAGAGACCAGAAAAAGCACAACCAAGCTCCCCATATAATCTCACGATGGGTAGGGGCAAGAAAAAGCAAAATTAAGCTATCCAAAATAGCACATTCAACCAAATACTCATCACCCATGCAACAGGAAACATTTAAACAGAATAGAAGGATACTACAAGAAATGCTCACAGCCAGGAACATCCAGAGAAGCCGCTATTCCTATCCAAGCAGGGGTAGCAGCCAAATGGGCAAATTAAGCCCGGTATAAGGGAAATCACATTAGATGCTATCGGATAGGGGTAGCCAGAGAAAACACCAATCCAAACCAATAATTTCCAATTCACGGGTAAGGACAGCCAAAGAGGAAAACCTACCAGCCAACCATATAAAAGGAGTCACGGGAGAAGGCTCACGGTCAGGGATTGTAAAAGGAAACCACCAACCATTCAAGATTTAAATTCCCCAACCCAACAGGGAAGCTCCCAACCGAAAGGTTCAAGGCCCAGAAAAGCAACATAGGGCCCCAAAGCAAATCATATATTGTGCTGGAAACAACACCTAACCAAGCCAAAACAAAACTAAGCTCGAAACATTGTTCAAAATAGGGTCAACCCGAAAGTAAGGTCTAACCCAACAAATGACCAAAACTCAGCCATCACAAGGCACAAATCGAGCCCAACACAAGGGCAAAACTAAACCATTTCAATGCAAAACCGAGCCCAGCACAGGGGCAAACCGAGCCCAGCAAGAAGGATAAAACAGGGAGCCGTAGAGGGTAAACCGAGCCCAGCAGGAAAGGGCAAACATAAATAGAGTTCCAGCCAAAATCGAGTCCAGCAAGTGGAATAAAATAAAACACAATTTCAGCTCTACTAAACCCAGCAAAAGGGGGCAAAAACAGATAAACTGCCAAGCCAAACTGAGCCCAGATCTTAGACAAAGCCAAGTCCAACATAAGAGCTAAAGAAAAGAATACAATCTAAGCCAAATCGAGCCCAGCAAAGGAGCAGAAATAGTACAAAACTTTCAGCTAAAATCCAACCCGGAAGGAACCAAAATCGAGCCCAACAAAGGGGCAGAAACAATACAAAACTTTCAGCTGAAATCCAACCCAGAAGGAGCCAAAACCCAGAAGGAGCCAAAACCGCCCAGAAGGAGCCAAAACCGAGCCCACCAAATGGGGCAAATAGAGCCATCAAAGTCAAATCTCATAAAGCCTTATATCTCAAAATATTACTCCCAACATATGTTTCAAATGGTAACAGGTAACAGGAAACAAATAACTATAAATGAATCCCTAAAACCAACATGTCTCAGCATTAACATTTACTTGAAAACATTTACTTGAACTAACATTTACTTGAACAGGAATAATGATAATAAAGAGCATTAATATTTCATTTCTAGCACATATTCCAGATAAGCAAATGTCATCACATGGCAGCAACTAGAGTTTTCTAAAATTTCCTTTATCATGCATTTGAATCAGAAAATAAGAGAAGACAACCATATTACGCTTCATCTTATTGATTCATCATCTTATTGCTTATTGATTCAAGAAGCTTTCCATGATTAGATCTAAAAAAAGGCCTAAACTTTTACTTCCACATGCTTTAAAAGAGAAAATAAATATTTTCAGGTGCAAATCCGAGTGATGCAGATTAGAGGAAAGAGGAGAAATATCTCTTAATGCAGGCTCAAAGTAAAATTGTATAACAAATTTAAGCAAACACCTCCTATAGAAACTCTCTTTCCAAAATCTTTGAGAAACAGCAACCAATAAACACCTCAAACTCCTTTTCCTCTCAAAATTTTCAACCCTTGGTAGTCAAACACACAACCAAGCAAGAATATGGAACTGACGAACAAGAGTACCGAGCAACCCAAAAGGAATGTCGAGCAACTGAACATGAAGTTTACGTCAAGCCAAAATTTCAACCGCACCTCCACCTTTTTTTTTCAATTTTCGACCAACCTTAAAGACCTCCCCAAGGTGGGGTTTTATAGGCAAAAGAAAGAGGAACAACCGCCTGCCAACCTCACTGGCGGGGGAAAAAGAGAAAAAGGGAGGGGGA